TGTGAGTTGAGGCAGATGTCATATTTCCTGCATGTGGTATGGTTGATTTAGTGTTTTGAAATTGTCTTGAATAATGCAGGAATGGGATTGCAGTCTTGAATACTATAATACTTGTTTACTGGATTGCAGTCCTGAATACTGCCTTTGTGCTAGTGTAGTTGGATGTATGCATCACCCTAGCCATAACTTGAATTTCACTATGTATAACTATTTTTGTTCCTGGTTTATAAATACCATTTCTCAACCAATTCAACATAACTTGTGTCAGCCACAAAAAATTAAGTTTCTGGAGTTTAAGAACTGCTTTCAGCATAAGTACTACATATGCAAACAGGAAATAACACTTTCAAACCAGAGTCATATTTTTTTTCAAATGTAGTTACATAGTGTTATAGCCACTCTTTATATTGTTCAGCTGGAAACAGAAATATCAGCTATAATTCCAGAGGAAGGGAATAAATAATTTAAATGTTCAGCTTCTACACTGGGCATTCAGAACTCCTTCATCAGCAAATTTGGAACTTCTTCGAGAATGAAGTTTCACTTCTTGAAAATAGAAGGTGAAGATTGAAGGCTGTCTTTTTGACAGCAGAAGACTGATATTGAAGATGGTCAATAAGGGTTGCCATATAATTTAAACCCTCTGGTTTATGATCCTGTATGCCAATCAATACCAGGTATTGTAGGCTGCATTTCAGATGAAAGAACTGCAGAATCACTTCTGAGTATTTCTTGCCTGTGATAATCCTATGAAATTCTCATAGGTTGTCATAAGTTGACAGGTGACCTTAAAGCACTTAGGAAAGGAGAGGGAGAGAGAAAAGATATGTCTTAAGTAATCTGGTTCATAAATGTATGGTCCAATGTTATTCATTTTGTGTGTCTTCATAATTTAATGCCCTAACCTCCACATTCATATCCATGTTTTGACTGACAGCTTGTAGTGTTCAATATCAGGTTAGAAGTCCTTTCTTTGCTCCTCTGTTTTCCACTCCCAAAAAACATTGAGTATCATTGTAGGTACTGGATGCCAAGCATGGAGAGCCAGCATGAAATGAATCTAGAAAAAAAAACTATGTTAGATACCAACCAGATACAGTGAAGACATCTGCCCTTGTGCTGTGCTACTCTGCTGCTGAGTATACATGCCCAGTGTGGAACACATCTCACCACACTAAAACAGTGGATGTGGCTCTTAATGAGACATGCCGCATTATCACGGGGTGTCTGCGCCCTACACCACTGGAGAAATTACACTGCTTAGCCGGTATTGCACCACCTGACATCCGCTGGGAAGTAGCAGCCAATAGTGAAGGGACTAAGGCAGAGACATCCCCATCTCATCCCCTGTTTGGGTATCAGCCAGCACGCCAACGACTTAAATCAAGACATAGTTTTCTTAGATCTACAGAGACACTCGCTGGAACACCCCAGCAAGCGAGAGTCCAAAAGTGGCAGGCTAAAACCCAGCACATCAATCCATGGCTGATATCAAATGAGAGGCTCCCTCCTGGGCACACAGAAGACTGGGCGACTTGGAAGGCACTGAACAGACTGCTCTGGCACCACGAGATGCAGAGCCAACCTTAAGAAATGGGGCCACAAAGTGGAATCCACGACATGCGAGTGTGGAGAAGAGAAACACTGACCACCTGCTGCAATGCAACCTGAACCCTGCCACATGCACAATGGAGGACCTTCTTGCAGCAACACCAGAGAAGCACTCCAAGTGGCCAGATACTGGTCAAAGGACATTTAACCAACTACCAAACTCACAAGTTTTGTATTTGTCTGTTTGTTTGCTTTGTTCTGTTAGAAATGTAATATAATGGACTGGTTGCTCTGACACAACAAATAAATAAATAAATAAATAAGATACCAACACTATATCAATCAGTATAAAAACTGAATTAGATCTTTCTATTTAGAGTTTCAGGAGTGATGGCTTTTGGAGACAACTTTCTGGGTTGGGTCGATATATTCAATGCACATGCACAAATAAGAGAAGAAAATTATCTAGCACTTGTGAAATACAAAAACAAGACAAAAATGTCAGTTGTCACTTTTATTCATTTAATACTTGCCCTCTGGAACAGAGATGTAAGGTAAAATCCGAAGATAAGAAGTATAAAGCTAAAAAAAGAATTATACAGATTAAAGATGTTTGCTGATGACTTGGTGATTGCCTTAGAAAATTCACTGGAATGTGTTAACAAATTAATAGGAAAATTAAAAGAATTTTGGAACCTGTCAGGGTTTAAAATCAACAAGTAAAGCATGGTGGTGCTGACTAATAATATGATGATAGATCTAACAGATTGGATAGAGAAATTTGTTTGTAAAATTGAGAAAAGGATGAAATATTTGCATAGCACAATGACAAAATACAAAATCTATGCTTTTTGAAAATGGGTTAAAATGTGGAATGAAATTAGAAAGGATTTGCAGAAATGGGAGAAATTAAATCTGTCTGTGTTAGGGAAAGTAAAAGAGATAAAATGAATTTGTTACCTAGACTGTTGTTTTTATTTCAGATGATACTGGTGTTGACGAAATATTTACCACTTAAATCATGGCAGATTTATCTAAGTTTATTTGGCAAAGGAAAAAAATGACAGGAGTGAAATTTAAATATTGCAAGATGCAAATCAACAAGGGGGGATTGAGTTTACAAAATTTGAAAATACATTTTGTTGCCTGTTATTTGGTTTAGTTGAAAGAATAGAAGTTGCTGAGAAATAAAAGATTACTAGAGTCAGAAGATTATGCCCTAAGGATATATGGTTTAATAAACATTATATGAGATGTGCTTTACTGGGATTATGGAACAGATATCAAGCCAGGCTGTATCAGAAAATGACTTAAGGGGTTTCAGAACAAGACACTTTTGGTAGAAGAGAAACAGCATGAAAACAAAAAAAAATTAAAATATCAAGATATTGGAGGGTTATTGAGGAAACTATACAATTTATTTATTTATTTATTTATTTATTTATTTATTTATTATTTACAGCTTTTATATTCCACCCTTCTCACCCCGCAGGGGACTCAGGGCAGATTACAGTGTACACATATATGGCAAACATTCAATGCCAATTTTAACATACAACATATACAGACATGCACAGAGGCTATTTAACTTTTTCTGGCCGCCAGGGAAGCTGTCGCTTTAATTGTCCATCTGTGACGCTGATGAAGTACTTCCGCATTCCCGCATGCTTCCCCGCTGGAATGCTTTGCTGGAGTCTTCTTTATGGCCTCATAAATCAGTTAATTTAGCCTCCCCACACTTTAAGGTGGTACCTTATTTTCCTACTTGACAGATGCAACTGTCTTTCGGGTTGCAAAGGTCAACAACAGGCTACACACAATTGGTTGGAAACCCACTCCAACCTGGGCTGGCTTCAAACTCATGACCTTTTGGTCAGAGTGATCTTAATGCAGCTGACACTCTGCCATCTGTGCCACAATCCCGGTGAAATTACAATAAAAGCAAAAGTACAGTTGTTGATGGTTACGGTTTTCAAAGGTTCTCTTACAATTCAAAAAGTTTAAAATGAGCAAAATATTTTTGAACAAAATACATCAGTTTGAATTTACAGTTATGTAAAGGTAAAGGTTTCCCTTTGACATTAAGTCTAGTCGTGTCTGATTCGGGGGGGGGGGAGGTGTTCATCTCCTTCTCTGAGCCGGCGTTGTCCTTAGACGCCTTCAAGGTCATGTGGCCAGCATGACTGCATGGAACGCCTTTACCTTCCCGCAAAAGCGGCACCTATTGATCTGCTCCCATTTGTATATTTTCAAACTGCTAGGTTGGCAGGAGCTGAGCATAACAGCAGGAGCTCACCCCGCTCCCCAGATTTGAACCGCCAACCTTTCGGTCAGCAAGTTCAGCAGCTCAGCCATTTAACTCACTGCGCCATCGGGGGCTCCTTGCAGTTATGTACAGGGTGAGGCAGCATAACTTCCTTTTTAATAATGCGCGCCATTCAGTCATTTGAAGACGTAGTGGAGCGCTAGTGGTCTCATTCGAGAGGCGGGAGTATAAAGTTTTGTCCTGATGGCAGTTCAGTCGCCATCATGTGTTGGAACAGTGAGGAGCGTGCTTTTGCCGTTGAGGCCTACTTTTCAAGCAGATTTGGAGTGGCCGGCCCACTCTCCAGATTGTGATTTTTTTCTATGGTTTTTTTTTAAAATCCCATGTTTATGTGAACCGTCCAAGGACCCTACAAGATTTGAAGACCAACATCCAGGATGAAATTGCCAACATAATGCCTACTATGCTGGCAAGAGTCATGACAAACACCAGAAATCGGAGAATGGAGAATGGGGGGCATCACCTACCTAATTTGATCTTCAAAACTATGTAAAACAAAACTTTAGGTATTCGCCTACATTATAAAAAAATTAATTCTGATTCATGCAATGGGTTTTATTAAGTTTTGAAAAAAGGAAGTGATGCTGCCTCACCCTGTACAAATGCATAAATTCTTTCTTTAAAAATTGACATTGAAGAAGAGCAATAAAATAAAATGGGCTCCGGATTTTGGAAATAAAATACAAATGGAAGAACGGGACGAAATGTGGTCAGAGGGTTTAAAACTTACATTATAATCTAAGAGAATTTTTATAAGATGTTGTGGCCTCCAGGATGTATGGAAATACGAACAACAAGTAGAAAGGCTTGACTTGAGAAAAGGTGAAGATGTACTGGGTGCAAACACATACGGTATATCGATGCAGAAAATATTAAAGATCAACATACACTTAATATTTGTTATATGTTATGCCTTTTTCATACAGTCTGTATAACTCAAATGCTTTCTTATGATTGCTTGTAAATATTAGGTTACAGATAGGTTCAGATACCATCTATATAAAGTTCTGTTTCAGTAATCTAGTTAGGGCAGTGAAAGATCTTCTGGACAAGAAAATCTTGTTATAGTTTCCAACTTTTCATGATGAAAAATAAATGGTGCCCATGTCCTTTTAATGTGCAGATGGTGGTTGAAGGAGGACAGGAACCGACGACTGAGCCTCCTACCAAAGGGCGATGCCTTCGCAGGACTGTCAGTGTTCCTTCGGAGGGTCAATTTCCTGACTATCCACCAGAGGGGGCTGCTAAGCTTGGTAAGTTGTACCAGAACCCGCGGGGCTACTTGCTCTAAGATAACATTCCTTGTCCAAGAGTTTACATCCGACAGGTCTGCAATATTTTGTCTGATCAGATAGCCTTTTACGTTATTTCCATTAAGGCCCTTTAGCAATGACATTGTCAAGGAATGCTGGACCGCTCAACAGCTTTGAAGTACTTAGATTCATTTGAATGGGTGTGTTTTGAGTTTCATTCCCAGCTAGGGGAGGTTTTATAGCATTGAGACAACTGTGTACTTTTGAGGTTACTGAGCAACCCTGGAATTTATAGCCATTGATCCCAGTGTGTGTGAATAGCACGGTATTGTTTTAAGGCTGTTTAAAGGGCTCCTACTCCTTGTTTGAACTGCTTGCTTAGTTATGATTTTATCTTCATGAGTCTCCTAAATTATTGGCCTGTGCTAGAATTAGGCTGTTGTTTACAAGGACAAACAGGGTTCCTAAATGAGCTAGATTATCTAGATTCATTTCAATCTAGCTTAGGGACAAACACAGCTTTTCTTACTGTGGTATATAAAGTACATGGGTAACTAGAGGCAGGGAGTATATCCTTTTATTTCTTCTGGACGTCTCAGTGGCTTTCAGCACCACCGACCATGGTATCCTTCTGGGTCACCATCTGGGATGAGACTTGGGAGCACTGGTCTGTAGGGGTTGTGGTTTTTGCAGGCCTGTACTCAATGTGGTGCAGGGATATACCTCTTTAATACCCTGACATTGGCTTGTGCTGTCACTCAGGACTTGGTTCTGTCCCCCATGATGACTAATACTTTCATTAAATTCTTGGGAGAGGTCACCCGCAATTTGGGGGTTTAGCGTCACAGTTCCATCTTGTCTCCTATGACATCAGAGCCCTTCCCCAGCACCATTGGCCACTCTGGGGCCAGAGTAAAGAAAGGAGCCAAGAAGACAGTTCCATGTCGTCTCCTGTGACATCAGAGCCCCTTCCCCAGCAACAATATAATATTATATAATATTAATATTATGAATGATGTATTAGCACTATACTAATAATATAGTATGTTTTATGTACATATGACTTGTAAGCTGCTCTGAGTCCCCTTCGGGATGAGAAGGGCGGCATATAAATGTCGTAAATAAATAAATAAATAATGTTTTTATGGCACCCTGTTGTATCTTTCCTTTCCATCTGATTCCAAGGAAGGTCTCTCTGTGTTAAACCAGGGTTTACTGTCACTAATGGACTAGATGAGGGTGAACAATCTGAAATTTGGATTTCTGTGAGGTTTTTGGGCTATACGGCCATGTTCCAGTAGCATTCTGAAGAGAATCTGAAGATGCCAGCCACAGATGCAGGCAAAACGTCAGGAGAAAATGCTGCTGGAACATGGCCATACAGACTGAAAACCACACAACACCCCAGTAATTCCGGCCATGAAAGCCTTTGACAGCCAAGGTGGAAGAAAGAACCCTTCTCTATTTGAAGCAAGGGCCAGTGTTACAATTAGCCAACTTGATTAGCATTGAGTAGCCTTGCATCTGTAAAATTAATCTGTGAGGGTATTTGCATATAGGTAGCCTGGCTGTGTTGCCTGGAGGCATCCTTTGTTTGAGAGGTGTCAACTGGCACTTGGTTGTTAGCTGTCTGGAATTACCATGTTTCTGGATGTTGCTCTTTATTTACTGGTGTTTTTTTAAATACTGCTAACCAGATTTTGTTAATTTTCATTGTTTTGTTCTTTTCTGTTGAAATTGTCCATGTTCTTGTGGATTTCAATGGTTTCTCGCGTGGTCAGACATAATGGTTGTCAGAGTCATCCAGCATTTCTGTGTTCTCAAATAATATGCTGTGTCCAGGTTGATTCATTAAGTGCTCTGCTACGGCTGACTTTTCTAGATGTATTAGTCTGCAGTGCCTTTCATGATTTGTATTTGGGCACTGTGTTTGGTGGTCCCTGTGTAGACTTGTCTATAGCAGCACAGTATACGATAGGCTTCTACAGTGGTTCGAAGATCCCTCTTGTCTTCTGCTGAATGTAGCATTTGTTGAATTTTCTTAGTGGGTCTGTAGATAGTGTGTAGGTTGTGTTTCGTTACCAGCTTCCCTATGCTGTCAGTGGTTCTTTTGATAAGCACAATGCTTTTAAACTGTCCAGATTTTAACTGCTGCCTTTCAGTGGGACAATTCCTGAACAAAGTCTGTAAACTGAATGCGTAGCAAATGTGAAGTTCCCTTTTTTATGGCTTGTATTGTATTTTATACTTTTTTTGCTATGTATATGCCAATAAAGGCTTATTGGATTGGATTGGATTAGAACTCTTTTCCTCAAGGTGGATCTTTGTCTTTACTCTCCTGGCTTTTTAAACATCTTAAACTTTTTAAACTTTTTAAACTTGTTTAAACAGAAGCTGGATAGCCAACTGTAGAGAAGTGTTTATTATAAAGGGTTTATTGTACTGTGTTTAAACTGTATTTATGTTTTACATGC